TCAATGGGTTGGGTGTGCTAGTCAGTTTTGAAAATCTGGCCCCGATTACATGGCTACTGAGCACCCTGGGAAAACAATCCCTCAATCATTCAAGCAACTTCCAGCACCAGAGCCAAGTTCATGTAGCACGAATGGAGTGCAATGAGGTTGGATTGGGACAAGCGGTGCCCATGTTTAAAGTTCACACAATCATGAGACCCATGGTAAGTGCAGTTGCACTTCGCAGGCAGCTCTACCAAAGGCAATTTGGGTAGGGGAACAGAAGAGAAATTCCTTACCAGAGCTCCCTCCAGACATGTAGCATAGTGATAGCCACGTCCCATAATTAAGACAGACTTCTGATGGTAAAGCTCTGTTGCCAGTTTCTGGATCTCATCATCCATACTCAGCACTTCTTTGATCAAATCTATTAGTTAGAAGAGGCAAAAGGATAAGTCAACACACAAGCCTGAAGCCACGCACACGCACACACATGCATGCCAAAGTCTGGTCAGTACTAGGACCAAGCGAACATGTCTGACGTCCTTTCATATCAACTGCAACTATGCAGCAGTGATGTCCTGAGCTGGATTCTCCCTTGCACCGAAGGCCAGGCATGCTGCTCTGCCAAGCTATGCTTCTGGATGAGAATCAGGTCGGAAGTTCACATGGAGATGCGAAAGTACCCTCCATCGGATTCCCCCACAAGCTTCATCTCACCCCAAAGCCTTGTTCTTCAGTGGGACAAAGTGCTGCATAGACCCTGTGCCAGCCCTCCCCCAGGAGCCACATTTCCCCCCTCCCCACGCAGGACAGTGTATATGCAGTATCACAGACAGATGCTTCATACCTGGTAATACCTTTAGACCACGTATTATCTCTTTGCGTCTTTCTTGCATAGAAATTCTATCATCGCACATCATGAGGGCAAACATCACCAGAGAAACAAACTGGCTAGTGTAGGCCTAAGGAGGAGAGTCATAAATGCCGTCACGTTTAGAAGCACATCAGATATCCCCCGATAGACTACGATTTTGTGAGGATTAGCCAGCCACTGAGTCTTAACACTTCTAGAATCTCCTGTGCCCAAGTCTCACCACTTTCATACCTTAGTGTCAGGCATTCCAAGACTATGCATTTATACAAGCTATTCAGAACACCTTGCACTCTTGTCAACAGAGTAATGTCTGAGGGTTTTAGGAAGTTATGTGCCTAGTTAGCACTGAATTTCACTGGCACCTTTGAAAATAAATCAGTCAGAGTCATACAAGGAATATAACATAAGAGAATCAAGTCCAAGGCTTGGGGCTCTCCTTTAGTAGTTAAGATTTAAAAATATCGTAAAGGTGCCATATTGTTAAGAGTTAAACAATGGCATGGTGAAATTAACACACCCTGTGCAAGAGTCGGAGATTCATAAACCACAAAAATGGTGTGTGGTTTACCATCTGATAGCAGTGCTGTCTTAGGGTACGTCTAGACTACATGCCTCTGTCGCCAGAGGCATGTAGATTAGGCTATCCGACATAGGAAAATGAAGCGGCAATTTAAATAATCGCCGCTTCATTCAAATTTACATGGCTGCCGCGCTGAGCCGACAAACAGCTGATCAGCTGTTTGTCGGCTCAGCACGATAGTCTGGACGCGCGGGTGTCGATATCACAGGTATTTGTCAACCACCCAGGTATGCCTCATTCCTTTGATGTCGACACCCGCGCGTCCAGACTATCGTGCTGAGCCGACAAACAGCTGATCAGCTGTTTGTCGGCTCAGCGCGGCAGCCATGTAAATTTGAATGAAGCGGCGATTATTTAAATTGCCGCTTCATTTTCCTATGTCGGATAGCCTAATCTACATGCCTCTGGCGACAGAGGCATGTAGTCTAGACGTACCCTAAGACAGCACTGCTATCAGATGGTAAACCACACACCATTTTTGTGGTTTAAATGTATAGCTTTTAATAGGCACATGAACTGGTTCAGGATTTAATTTCTTCTTTTTGAATGTCCACTTAGAACAAGCAGTTTCAGACTAGTCTTTTGATTTTGTTTTTGTCATGAAAGTCATCACCTATCTATCTATACATTAAAGTACATCTGTCTGTCTGGGAGTCCATTTGCTCTAGAACAGTGTTTCTTAAATTGTGTTCTGCGGCACACCGGTGTGTCGTGAGGCAGTCGGAGGTGTGCCATGGAGAACAAGAGTTCAAAATGGCTGCCCTTAAAGGGCCAGGTGACCTTTTTAATAACTCCCCCTCCCCCTTTTTTTGGCTCAACAAAAAATCCTTGGTGTTCCTAAAAGAAAAAATGTTTGGTGTTCCTCGGTCTTAAAAAGCTTAAGAAACACTGCTCTAGAACTTCTTGGGTAACCGTAATGACCACCAAATTTGGGAAGCAGCTTCTTCTTAACTTAAAGCAAGGTCAAGATTTGGTTGTGCGAGGAAAACAGAGTGCCTGGAAAGGGACTGTTTTCCATAACACGGAAAGGGAGGGGGCTGATTGAAGGACAGCGATACTGCAGACTGACCACTGTAGGCAGCAGGAGAGTGGCCAGTGGGGGATGGGGCTCCAAATGTCCAGCCACCAAACCAGGTAAGTGGTCATATTGCCCCCCCAAACAATACCAGATGAGTGGGGAGCCTCCCCCCCAACTCAACTCCTCCGGGAGAGCCCCCCTCACACACACACAGAGAGGTGGGGGCCAGGAACTGTGGCCCATCCCCAACCTCTGAGGAGATGCCCCACGGCAGGAAATGCCAGGAACTGCAGCACAGTTCCCTCCCCCAAACCAGGTAAGTGGTCATATTGCCCCCCCAAACAATACCAGATGAGTGGGGAGCCTCCCCCCCAACTCAACTCCTCCGGGAGAGCCCCCCTCACACACACACAGAGAGGTGGGGGCCAGGAACTGTGGCCCATCCCCAACCTCTGAGGAGATGCCCCACGGCAGGAAATGCCAGGAACTGCAGCACAGTTCCCTCCCCCCCAGCTGCAGAGCATGGGAAGGGGGGGAAAATGGAGGCTAGGGCTGGCCCCCAAACCCTGCCCCCTCCCCCAGACCAGTTGCAGCACGTGAGGGGAGTGGCAGCAGGAGTCTATGGGCAGCCCACAGAGCCCCTCCCCTGGACAGATCCTGCTGGAGGTGAGGGCCCAGCCCCAGAACCCCTCAGCCCTGACCAGCTGGAGGCTGGGGCTGGCCCCCACAGCCCCAGCTCCCCACGAGGAGCTGTCAGCCAGGGAGTGCAGCCCTAGCACCCAGGAGGAGATGCTGCCGGAGCACCGCCACCCTCGCTGCCACAGCCATCCCCAGTAAGCTCCGCCCGAACTCTCCATCCCCTGCCCTGAGTTCTGCACCTCCCATCCTCTGTCCTGAGCCCCTCCCACACTTACTCCTGCGCCCCCCCTAACCCTGCCCACCTCAAGCCCCATGTCCCCCACCCCCTGCTCATTCCAGCATCCTCCGCTCCAGGCCTGGGCAAAGTACGGCCTGTCAAGCCACTGAATCTGACCCACGGATGCAGCAGGGAGCCCCAGGCAAGCTCCTTGCTTGACCACTTCCCCTCGCATGCTGCTCAGAAAAGTGGCTGCTGGGCCGTTTCTCTTTCAAAATTGTGAAGCTGGAGGGGAGGGAGGGGGAAGCTTCAGGAGCTGTCCCTGCCGCCGTACAATCCCATTGGCCAGTTTCTGGCCCAAAACAGGCAACCATGGAGCATCACGTCCCCTCCCCTCTGGCTCGTAGTTATTCACACACACATGGCCCTGCAGCATGTGTGGGGGCGGGGTAGGCAGGAGGCTGCGTTATAAATCTGCTGGGCTGCTGGCCGGGAGTCACCCAGGTAAGTCTCCCGGCCAGGGCCTGCCTCTGGTACCCCAGCCCCTCCCTTCCCTCACCCTCTGCTCCCCTACTCCACATACCTAAATCTTCTGCCCATATCCCTTCCCAGATCTGGCACCTCAATCACCTGCCCCAGACCACAACTCCTGCCCTAGTCACATCCCAGACCCCTGCACCTCAGTCCAGTGCCCCAGGCCACAACTGCCTCCTTCACCCAAACTCCCTCCCAGACCCCACATGTCCTCCTGTACCCTGATCCCTTACTCCAGTCTCCCTTCTGCACCCAACCTCCATCCCAGACCCTGCATTTCCTCCATTAATATCATGGAAGAGTGTGGCCCTTGCCCACTTTCCAAATGATTGGAGTGGTCCCCATAACAAATTATTGCCCACCACTGCTGCACCTCCCTGCCCTGAGCCTCCCCCATAACCAAACCCCCTCCCTGATGCAATCAAAAATACAGCATGCACATTTTCCTTTTAGTTTCCAAAAATGAAAAAATCCCAACCATTCCTAGAGATAAGGACCTGAGCAATGCTGGGTAAATCTGCTAGTTTCCAACTGCAAAAACATACCTTCCACCCTAATTAAGAAAACAAGGAACTGAAACGTGCAAGACATCTGTTCAAATTGTGAACCCTCCTGATCAGTTGTGCTCCGATTTCTTTCCTAACTGCCTTAGCTAAGACACACATGCAGTGTTCATGAACAGTGCATGGTAAAGAATGTGTCATAAGAACAGCCAACGAAGTGGAAAATTTGACTTTACATAGAATGAAAATTTAGTCAAAAGTGCAGTAAAAAGGCTAAAAGTTGGTGCCATTGGAGCCAATGACAAAAACACCACTGATTCACCTGGATGAGGAGGAACATTGGAGGTAATTATTCTTGCTCTCCATCTCTATGGTGATAAATTCTGATCCACCCGTTAGAAGATGACTAACCCCAGGTAAAGACCAGCATTTCTTCTTACACACCATTTGGAATATGAACCTGAGAGTTGAATCAAGATACTTCAATCCAAAGAGTTTGACTAAGAACCATCTTCCCCAGGCTGGCCTTGGCAGATATTAGTGCACAGTCTCGCTTGCAATTTTTTAACCGACTTCTTGTAAAACAAGAATTAAAGAGGGGGACTTCGCTACTAAAATCTCATAAGGCAAATGATGATGATGAGGAGCGAATGAGTCAGGGAAATGCAAATTGAGCTTTCTTAGACTGTATAATAAAGTAAAAAAAGAAACATTGTTCAAACAGATGACAAATTGCACTTCTTGCAGCAAAGAAAACCAGGGATTCAAACAGTGTGCACCTTCAGAAACAAGTGAATTTACAGGTGGTAGCTAAATTTTCAAATTAAAGTAATTATCCTTAACAAGTTTCTGCTTCCCTAGCATAAAACACAGCTGTTTCAAGGCTTAATATGTGAAATGCTTCAAAGAAAAGTGTAATATAACTGGAAAAGGGGGGGCGGGAGAGTTGGGGCCAGTTTTGATTTTTTTGGTAGTCATGCATTCTACCACCACATAGCACAATCAAGAAATGTATTCTGCTATCTAAAATTTGTACAAAGAAAAAGTTTTGTAATTATGCATACATCATTATGGGAAACAAGTTTAACAATTAATCTGCTGCAGAAATTGTAAAGAAGTTTAGTTTTGTAACAAAGTTTGAAATAGAAAACTGCTCCCACCACTTTGTAGCATTACTGTTGAAGTATAAAAGTTGTCTGTACTAATTCAAGAGCAATTTTAACACTGCTTCAATTTCTTTCTGTCACCAGCAAAGGCTGCTTTTTGGATTCTTATGTTCTCAAACTGGATTGTCTGAGCAACATTTTCTAGAGCTGTTCATTTGCAGCATGTACAGGTAAATCTCTGCATCACTAGAGACAAAATGTGTTTTCAGTGACCTACAAACTGTACAGCATTGGCAGTGCGAAATCAGGCTAGGGACATATAGCTCACACAAGAGTTTTTGCAAGAAGTCATGAATTTTCCATGACTGAACTCCCCAATGACCTGTTAAAAACTCAAATGTGGTTTTTGGCTGAATTTATGTAGCAGATTGACATCATCTCTTTCCCCTACACTTAACTAAATCAAAGCAGATTTCACAGGGCAGAAGCCCTTGAGCAAGCAAAAGCAACAAAGCAAGTATCTTACGCTGTACCTTAAACAGTCAGCTGCATCAGGCAGGGCAATTAAACCTCACAGTTAGTAGACAGCTATGCACTTTTTTTTTTTTTAAAGAAGGCTGTTTGCTAAAATTACTGCCGTTAAGTGCAGCTATTTCCTTTCATCAGAATAATTCAGACATTTAATCCCCTCTTTTGTCACCAGCACCACAGCTGGAGCACCTGGGGGCAAACTATGAGAGAGATGTTGGAAAAATGCCCTGACAAAAACCAGAAAGACTTTCAAAACATCTTGGAGCTTTTTCTGCCATCAGCTCTGGAAGTTATCCTGAAACCAGCTGAGAGTGCAGTTTGTGTGGCAAATAAGCAGATTCCTCCTTGTCCCCTAGTTTCAGAGCCTCCATTTTCTCTTACACGCTTCCCTTATACAGTATCTGACCAATCTTCATTTGGGCTGATACTGTATGAGCATTAAGGTGATGCACGAGCTATAACATGCCACTGTGACACCACAAAACAGGAGGAGAGATATAAAAGTGTTTACCAAGGGCCAAGACCTCTGCCTTCAATGAGAATTATGTATGTACATTGTCTGCACAAGTCTATTCTGCTGTGACCTCCTCTTATTCTGCAATAGCCAAGCATTTGGTTTTAATTGGACAGGGCTGAAAATATGGGCTCCTCAAATTTGGAACGTGAGAGTCCACAGCCCCAACCTGCTAACCTTTACAGCATGGTGTAATTTGATTTACATTTCTTGCTTCACAGAAGAATCCCTGAAGAAGCAGCTGGAAAGCCTTAACTGCAGGAGGGATTGGAGGATTTACCAAGTAGATCACAGTATGATTTTCATGTTAACAGGACTGATTTTTCTTTAATTTCTATAGCTATAAGTCCATCAACTTGAATGATTATTCCAGATTTATAGCAAGTTAAGCGAGAGGAGAATCTGGATTGAGAACGGTGCATGTGCCAAGAGCCACTAAATTAGCTCATTTTAAAACAAGCTTAAATAAAAATAGAGTTCTACTAACTTTTTATAGCTAAAGCCAGCTGGTCTATTAAATAGGGACAGACTTGGAATGAAAAGCAGGGTAACAGGGAGCCACCCAAGTAGCAACGAGGTGTCCCACTGTGTGTTAATGGCACGGCTCTCTCTTTTTACATTGGTAATTCTGTCAACTCAGAGTCCCTTAAAAATGTTCCCAGCAAGCTGCAGCCCTGCTGATCAGTGACTGAATCGTCCATCTTAAATGCACAGGCAGGCTGTACAACAAGCAGGCTCTTTTGGTTATGGGTAATGTCAAATCTTTGGCCATGCCTGGATTCACTGCTATGTACGCAGCAATGTTAGCTATTGTATTTTTAATTCCTTTGACCTGTGTAGTAAGACTGAAACAGTTTAAAATAAAACAATGAAAATAATTCTTGTTCTTTAAATAGCTTTTTTCTTACCTACATTTCTCTTTGGATCAAAGAATGAATTCACGCTGTTCCCTGATTTCAAATATTAAGACAAATTCCATAGCAGCATCTTGTGGCTCACTGAAAGTCTGTACAGGTGGAACCTCTGTAAACCGGGTCTCTCTGGTCAGGCAACATCTGTGATCCGGCAGGACCATGGGGGTTCCAGGACCAGAGGATCCCAGTGGAGGGCTGGTGCCTAGGAGCCCTGCAGACTGGAGTCAGGAGCCTAGGTCCCCACAACTGAGAAGCCAGGAGTGCCCCAGAGGGGCTGCTTGGTAGGGTTGTGAGCCTGGTGCTCCGCAGCAGGGCTGCTCAGCACACCCCAGTTGGGCTGCCCAGCACTGCCCAGAGGGGCCAGAAGCCCAGAGCACTGCAGCAATGCTGCGTGGAGGGGCTGGGACCGGCTCGTCACAACGGGAGCTGTTCAGCTAGGCTGCCAGGTGCACCCCAGTTTGGCTGCTTGGTGGGGCAGGAGCCCAGTGTGCTGCAAGCGGGGTTGCCTGGATGGAGGGAAAGCGGGGTGGAGACCAGCAGGGCAGCTGGGCCTGCGGTCAGTCTAGCGCTGGAAGGGCTAGTAGGAAGGGGGCCAGATATGACCTCCCTTGGTCCGGCAAAATCCCTCATCCAGGACCAGTCAGGTCCCAAGGGTGCCGGACCAGGGAAGTCCAACCTGTAGTAGTTTTAGTCTTATTAAATTTGTACCAACACAGCTGGGAGTTAGCTTTTTTCAAATAGGCAGAAGTTAGCTAATATATAAACTGTTAAAATCTCAAAATGTAACATACCAGGTATGGTTAATGAGCTTCAGATAGAATAGAAAGCTGAGGCAACCAGTCTTCCAATGAACGCGAGAACTATAAACATGGTATTCACCTTTGTGCTGGCCACACCAATCTCTGGTCCTGCGTTGATATGGACACCGCAGTCTGTCTCTCTCGAAATGGAACTGCCCACGGTATTCGTTATCCCTACAGTGAGTGCTCCCCGCTCCTTGCAGTACCGAAGGCCCATCAAAGTATCTGCTGTCTCACCTGCAGAGATACATTTACACAGTCACAACTGAAGATCAATTATAGGCAAGATGATCACAAGCCTTTGTACTACTCTGCACTGGAGGCTGCTGAAACTCAAACAGGTCAGTCAGCAGATGTTTGTTATGTCATTGCAAACCAGAGCATCATCCTGGAAATGTGCAATACTTGCAGACCTGAAACGGATACCGAAGGAGATCAACGGTTACCCT